CATAGTGTACCGGTTCTTTTTCACCGTATATTTGCTCAATCGCACGTTTTTTATAATGTTTGGGTAATCGAGCGTATTCACCGTTCTTGGTCCATTTTGATTTATCGTGTTTATAAACAAGTTGTCGCATAGGCTCTTGGAAACTCAAAACAACATATACATAACAGTGTAGTAATTCATTGTGCTTTGAATTATATCAGCTCCTGTTTGATGCTTCTTAGCCTACCTTCAGTTAATTATCTATTGTGCCCGTATGAGAGTCATAAGATAAAAGGAGTTTTAAACATGAGGAAAAAATCGACTGTTTCAAGAATATCTCAATAACTACAGATCATGCTGAAAGGGCACATCTACACAATATATTCAACATAAAGTGTGAAGGAAACACATTGATCGGATGAGATGGTTAATAGAGAAGTGTACGTTCCAGAATTTACTTTGGTGGGTTTTTCAAAGATCGGATATACTAAAAGCTTAATCTCGGCTCGAGCTATAGCTGCGAGACAGGGTAAAAAACTCAGTTCTTAATGGTCAACGCCTGGTCTATCGAGGCATCAATCTCTATTATTAACCGAATAAAATAAAACGTTATAAAGTTTATCATGCAGAATAATGGATTAATTTGATTTGCCGGTAAAAAATCTCAAGAATATTGATAAATATACTCGATACAAATATATAAGACAAAACTATCTGTTTTATCGATAGAAATGTCAAGTATACTTTTTCTCATTCTCAAATGAATAATCTAAAATTTTGTGAACAAACCGTGATGAGCAATGTAAAAATAAGAAGAGAGTGATTGGAATAATGTCTAATATTTAAAAAATTAATAAATCAATTTAAAAAGAAATTTAGATCAACTGATCGTTGAGATTTCGAAATTCTAAAATGTTCTTTTATTTTATTCTTTTCTATATTTGACAAAATGTTTTATATTAAGTAGATCGATTTATAATATAAACTTTTGCTAGTTTAATTTCTTGTCACAAAACGAAATTTCACTGTCTTGTAATAATGCAACGTATTATTTATATTCCAGGAGTCAAGAACTTCCTAATGCTAAATTTGATAATAAAAGATTGCACTTCTTCAACTAAACACCATGTATAAAGACACATATAAAGAAGTAAGAAAAGGAGAAGAAAAAAAAATCGTTTAGTTTTGTTTTTGTCATTTGATTAAGACAATAATCAAATTCAATCGTCGTATTGATATAGTTCATCTTCACACAATCAAATCCACTTTTTTTCTTAGACTCAATGCAAGTTAAGTTACATTGACATAGAGGGGTGTTAGTCAGACGGTTTTTTTTATAGAGTGTAGGAAAAAAAAAAGAACTTTCTTTTTTTATTTTATCCTTACCATTATCTAATAAGATCGAGTGAATTAGAAAAAGCTTTTTCCTTATTTCTATATAATATAAATGGGATATAAAATAGAAATCATGTAAATTGATCAGAAAAATATAACTGATTGATTAAGGAAATAGATTAAACGATAAACGAGTCTGGTGAGTATTAAATTGGATAGCACTGATCAATTTCCTAACATACGTACATATGTGTTTAATTATAAGAAAAAATCAAGAATTTTATTTAGTTCAATGTTGACGCTTTTCAAACAACACATCCTTATTCAGAGTTACAAGTATTTCTAAAAAATTAGAAATCAATACTCAATAATAAATATTGGACAAAAGTGAGGATATCTTTTTAAATTCCTCGTCCTTTTTTGTTGGTATATTAACAAAAAATATAGAGTTTAACTTTATTATTATTACTTTTCCATAATATGTATTTTTTTGGTCGTTTACGACACTATTCCTTAATTCTTTTTTTATTTGCCTATTGTGTCATGTTACTTAATATTGAATATTTTTATTCGTCTACTGTTCAATTTGCTCATTTATTCAGATCTGATGATGATGATAAGTTAAAAAATATTTTTGATGAAACTAGACAAAATGATTCACTATCGTTATCATCAAAAACACGATTAATAACAAGAAATATTCAAAATGATGAACAGTTATTTATTAGACGTCAAATATTTGAAATATTTGATGATTATACTGCTGTGGATGATTCTGCGTATACAAATTTAACCCATGTCATATGTTCAAATTTCGACAATTCATTAACACAATCAAATAATAAAATTATTCTAATTCAACCAAATATATTAGAGAAATATGATTTGATACCGTATGATTATACAATATGGCAAACATCTATCAGTTTATCTCGTTCAGTAACACCATGTGAACATTCAATAATGATGAAATTACTTTTATTATTTGATAAATTATGTCGTAAAAATCAAATTCAGTACATGATGATTGATGGCACTCTACTCGGCAGTTATCGACATCATGATTTAATACCATGGGACGATGATATCGATTTGTTAATGTCTGTTAAAGATAAACGACGTCTTAATCGTGCTATTCAAAAACATTTTGTCATGTCTGGTAAAACAACCAATGATATTTATCATATTGAATATTTTCGTCGATGGGATCCAGATAAATCATTTGAATATTATAAATTTTATTTTTCATCATCATTAAAATTAAGTTCAAATAATTGGAAATGGCCATTTATTGATTTAATATTTTATCATGAAAATCGTACTCATTTATGGCATGAAAATAATTTTCAATTCACTATTAAAAAATCGTATATTTTTCCGCTTATTTTACGACCATTAGGACGTCTCTGGTTACCAGCACCACAAAGCCCACTTGGATATTTTGATTCTGTTAAATATTTAAATGTTGATCGAGAATGTTTTAGTCAAAATTGGTCACATAAATATGAACAATTGAAAGAAAATTTGATGATGAATTGTGATAGACTTAAACATATTTACCCATTTGTTACAAGAAATTGTACGAAAGTAAGTTGCCAAGAAAGTTTACAAGTAAATAAGAAAGTAATTCATAATGCAATAATCAAAAATGATCAGTATTACGCAAACAAGGTATCTCTCATGTAATTTGAATGAGATTTAGATATGAAAATAATAGTTCGACGTCACAGTTGTCAACTGCGAGAGAAAAACTATTTGCTGTAGTGACAAAAATGGCGTTAACAGTCGATGGTTTGCTCCTTCCGATTGACAACTCTGACTCGAACCTTCTTTATACTTGAGTCAGTATGGTGTAATATGTTTCATATCTATAGCCCAAAAATATCTTTTACTAACAAAAATTGACGAGACTTAATCGTACTAAAGATTACATCAGTTATATAACTAGTATTCGAGTATCTAGGAAAACTTTTATAACTTGTTTTTTTCGAGAAATGCTCAGGCTACAATTTGCTAGGCATAAAAAGGTTTTAAACTCAATTTTTGTTGAAAATATGCACATTACGAGAGACTATCTAAGCAGTGTTGAAGAGTGATCAAATAAGATCATTTCCCAGTTCTGTAGAATGTATTTTAAAAAAATGATTATTTTGCTAAGAAGTCGAAAAATGAATAAAAAACCTGTTGCTATGACTAGTGCATACCTGATTACATTGTACGTTGCCAAGCCTTTATCGGATCAGAGAAAATATATTTTTCTTTTTTTATGTGTAATCAAAACAATGAGCTACACTTCGCGTATAGTTATTTTTTTTACTTTTGTCAGATAATTTCATTTTTGATAGTATTTTCATGTTTGTTATAGAATTCTATTTTCCAAGAATACATCTATAGATCTAATAAATTATTGTGTTTTTTTTTACTCTTAATCCAGCACATGTTTTGCAGAATACTAATCAATTATAAATCAGATGTTGATGTACTTTAAAACATGATTAGAACAAAATCAAACTTGAATGATAAAGTCACTGTTCAAATATATTAACTGTAGTCTTTGGTGCTTCTAATATCCATAAAAAAAGTTATTGAATTAAAAACAATAAAAAAAGTATCAAAAGTTACAAATAAATACCAGGCAGTCGTTTCGCAAATCTTTCTATCTCAGTCAGCTATTGAAACTTTTTTGATGTCAATTATCGTTCAAAAATAAATTTTATAAGCCAAAGAGAGTAAAAACATATAGAAATAATCTAAAGTTGATGTATTAGTGCATGTTACAGCTAGATTAGATAATCGATAATGATCTCGTCTAGTTGTTTTTTGTCTATCTGAGAATTTTATTGTTGTTACTTTTAGCCTAGTCGATTGTTCTAAGATAACAGAAGTCGTATTTGATAATGGTAAATGCTTAATAATATCATCAAGCATCATTTCGTGAATACGCCGTGTTAGTGGAAACATTCCATGATTACAGAACAAACCCGTATAATCGTCAAAATCTAAAGTCCATAACATTGCTCCACCAAGTCCAACAGTTTTTGCCCATAAAACTTTTAATACAATACTCTTTAAATTATCGTATCCTACCCATTGTTTTCCATTATAAGCATAGGGTGTTTGAGATTCAGTATCGAACACACTAGTCCAATTAAGAACATGAAGTTTTTGACAAATCTAAAATTCAAGAAGAAAACTTTTCCATAAAAAAATTAGACAAATATCGACTACATCTACCTCAAAATAGGCAAGTGTACCATTCTCCTTGACAAATGGTCCAGCTAAAATGGATAAAAGAGAAATATTGATTTATTCTGATTAATAAATCGTAAACATAAACGATAACTCTATCTTCTAGTGATATGAAACACTTTCTATGAGAATAGAAAGTTTTTATCAGTTATGAAGAGATTGATGCGTAAAAGAACAAATCATTAGTTAATTTAGTATAATAAACGGATATCACCTTCTCCTCCTCCAATACTTTCCGAGCCAATTGTGACTGTTGATGATTCATTAGATATTGTAAATGTTCTACCATAAATAGCTAATCCAATATTCATTTTTTCTGCTGGACATCCTCGTTCTAACCAATAGTAAATTGAAGAATTCTAAAATTGTTAAATATTCACTATCATACAAATCTCGAATCATTAATTTATGATATCATACCACATTTTTCCATTCTTCGTGACTTGGTAAATCGGTATGACTTTTATAGAGTGGACTATTGATGCCCGTAACATTATCCCATTGACCTAAGTAATAATAGAATCTAAAATCATGTAGGATCGTAGATAGTACTTACCATGATAATCGTATGACATCACGTTGACATAGTCCAAATATCTTGTGTGTGAAAAAAAGATAACAATAAAATATATTAATTATTCTACAGTATTGTGCAAAGTTATCGACTCACCTGTTCAAATCCAATTATTTGAGTGCTCTCGACCACTGTACACTCTTGTGCAAAGAAAAATCTTTATAACTACATACATTTGAGTATGCTCTATGCGAATATGAAATCAGATTTTCTCAATACAGTTTTCAAGTTCGAAACAATAAATGTTTATTGAAACTGGTTGCCAGTTCACAACTATAGACTCAATATCGTATTTTCATTATTTTTGTACCAAACCGACGTAAGTTTGGCTTCAAGTTTGGCCGTAAGTCATAGACGAATAGGAGAGCTGTTTCTGAACATTTTCATAGAAAAGACTTAAAAAAATGATCTATATTTGGAGTTATTATCAGATTTTATTGAACAAGCTAAAGTAGCTTGAAAACATCATCCAAGTTCAGTATTTTGGCTACAAAATTTTAACTAGAGGCTGGACTCATTTTTTAATAACGAATTCGAATAGACGACACGTTTTCCTTCAAAATGAGAAGTTCGCGAGCTCTGCACGTCATTTCGTTACAGGGAAACATATCCATGTCAAACGACATGCCACGTTTTTGCAGTAAAAAAGCACAGAAGGTTTGAACAGGTGAATCTATAATTTTGCACACTATTGTAAATCAAGTCAATTATGAACATACCTACAAAAATTTTCAACAATATATCCATTATCTATTTTTTGAGGATCAGCAGCCACGGCTGCTGACAATAGAAATGTTTTATTTTGACTTTTAGATACATAATCAACTGCATCACGTAATTCCTATTAAACGTTGAGAAAATTATTTAGTTTAGTATTTGTCGTAGCATGAAGTGAATAATAAACATACTTTAACTAGAACATCAAACTTGATTTTCGACTCACTATCTGCATCTCGTTCAACATCACCAGGAAATTCCCAATCCTTCAAGTAAATTAGTATTCGAAGTTATATAAAAAAAACAACAACAAATTTATCAATAAATACTAACTAAATCAAGACCATCAAAGTTCCAATCGCGTAAATATTTCAGTGTTTGATCAATAAATTTTGCACTAAAAAAAGCACAATTATTGAAATTTAAGTAAACTTCAACATTTGTAATGGAATATACCGATTTGTCTCGTTGTATAATACAGCATTAAATCCCTCACTTTTAGCACTCCATCCACCAACAGCTAAAATTATTTTTAATTGTGGATTTCGACGTTTTAATCCATACAATCGATGATACAATGGCTAAAAATATAATAGATATAAATATTTGGTATTTTAATCATACATTGTACTTACCATACTGTGATGATCTGTCCAATGTGTATCATGTTTCTCGGTTGGTTCAATATTCAATGTTACAGGATGAATTTTAGCAAATGCATAATGAATATGAGTACAAATGTGTGGATCGATTGAATCCGGATATAGAATAGGAATTGTTGACTCACGATAAACACTCCAATTTGTATAATAACATACAATTCTTAATGCTAGAATATATAGCAGAACTAGATCGTTTATTTAAAAAATCTTTTAACTGTACAAGAATTTAGAGAATTTTAGAGGCATGAATAAAATCTTTATCCATCTCTTTTGCTTAAAGTAACTTGGAATTATTTCTACATAATAGTGAAAATCATAACGAAATTTATCTGTCAATTCTACATCTATCATTATTAATCACAGAAAATGTGTTGATGAAAAACTTCAAAAACCACTGCATACTATAATTAAATCTTACTTGCATATGTTTGTAATTTATTTCCGCATATAAAAAGGATGTAAAATACAAATAGTGTATGTTTCTGCATGTTGAATATTTTTTAACACAAAAACAAATTGTATAGTGATGCTCTTTCTTCTCATTTCTTCTTTTTTTGAGTTGGTAAAGACAAGGAAAATGTAAGTGAACAAATTGACAATGTTTACATAGAGGATTAAGCGAGGTTTACTTTAAATAGTGTAGATGTAACAGATCATCAGTTGTTGTTGAAATGTTTATAAGGAATACAAATAAAAAAAAAATACATCTTAATTTGGTGGTATTAAATGTCATTTAAAGGATAAGCTGTAAGAATAGAACATGTTATGAAGAATTGATATTGTAGTGAACTTCATTCAAGTAACTCATTACGAAATACATTTTAACAGGTATTCATCGAGTATTCAATGAAAATCGTCCATTTTTGTTCAAAAGTATGTGTATGATGCGTCTGAACTCGATTAGCAGGAGGCTCAATATTCTACCGTAAAAATCGTAAATTAAGGGTCCCCCTTAGAAATTATCTCCGACACCCTATATCCGATCTTGACGAAACTTTCCATAAATGTTAGGTTTAATGAGTTACGGGAATGAAAAAGTTTTTTTGTCTCCAAGTCTTATGGTTTAGAAGTTTTCCAGAGATCAAGGTCCAAAAAGGACCTTGAAGTTTTTCCAAGATTTTTTAATATACTTCAAGCTGGTGAGTCCGGGTTTGTTTTATTTTAAACTAGACACCTAACTACATCGACTGACCGGTGCCGATTTTTCAGTTAAGCCTTTATTGGTTTTCCAGGCAAGCAAGAACCTCCAAAACCCGAAAACTCCTTCCGAGTTTTCTAAAAATCCTCACTTTGACGAAAAGCTAAGACCTAATTCAAAAATCGGCACCGGTCAGTCCATGTAATTTCTTTTCTTCTTTTAAACAAAAAAAGAATAAACTCTCTACAAACTGCTATTAAGAATCTTGGGAAATACTTCAGGTGTAACTCTTACGCTGTAATGAACGCTGTATAAGATACTCAATTTAGGAAAATGCCTGTAAATTTTTGATGCAAGGTCATACAGCATTGTGCGAAGTCTTATTTTGATCAGAAAAGTTTGCTCTACAAATCTGCGTTCAGAAAAATTTTAATTGCATAAGTATCCAGGAAAAAGACTATTATTTGGAGACCCGATTTTTCGAGGCGCCAAAAAACTTGCTCAAAATCCGCGAAAATCACTTTCGTAACCAAAACCGATACAGATTCTGAAAGTAGACACTTCAGGCTATCTTTCCATGTGCGTATCTCAAAACCGATTTTTTGACCGAAAATCACCATTTCTGAGGAGAGGACCCTTAAAGCATTGTTTGATGTATTGCAATCTCAAAATTTTTGAACAAATTGTACAAAAATTCAATTTAATACAATTGATATGGTGAAACGGTTTAGTTTTCTTTCATGGTAGTTATTATAATATATGTCAAGTACAGTTGTGTAATGATAAATTGTTATTATCACGTATGCGCATGATATTTTGTTGTCTTTATTTTCTATAGAGAAAACATTTTAACAGCTTTTGTGTCAATATTATAAGAAAAATGAACATGCACTAGCGAAGTGTCTTATACGGTTGACTTTTATTGAGGCACTACAATAATAAAAACCTTCTCTAAACCGATTATTGTATCACTGGGCTTCATGGCAAGTTAAAGATTTTAGGTGCATAAATAATTTTTGTATTACTACAGCAGTAAATATCAGAGTATAATATAAGAAAACCGTTGTTGTCGATGGGGATCTTTTTTTCCCCATCGAAATAAGTACAGAAATGAAGAACAGGATATGAATTCAAATACTCTTATTTTCTCATTTATCGGAATATGCAATAATAAGCTGTTGAAAAAAAGTTGATGTTACTGTAATTTTGGAAATTTTAACTACTTTAAAAATTTGAAATTTTCATAAAGATTGAGATATACAATAGTAGAGAGTATTGAACCTGAAGAGTGATAAAACTTCTGTCAACTCTTTATACCTTTTTGAAAATTGATATTTTTCAAAATCGTAGTGTCAAAAGCTTGGAAAAATAGTCATTTTTAACAAAGTTGATATTCAAATGTTAACTGCATCCAGTAATGATCATGATAATGAATATGCCACTTTCAATTTTAAATAATTCAAATGAAATACACCCTCAACAAGTCACTATTCAAAAAGTTAAATTATGCCCTATTGTTTCGGCAAGAAATCATTAAATTGTCGTAAATGTTAGTTAGTAGGAGATGCTCGTTATGATTGTATGTCAATAGTTTATAAATGTAAAATATGTCTAGAAGTAATCAATAAATGCTCAAATTTTCAAAAAATGTGTTCAGTGTTAAGGAAATCATCTACCAATGAATTTACGATGTAATAAAAATAAAAATTATCATGGTCATTCAAGTGTCATTATTAATAAGTTGGTGCAAATGTGTACAAAGAAATAGACATTACAAAAATTTGAAGTAGCATTAATACACTGCAGCAGTTACTTTCAATGTGCAAATCTAATCTAACGTATAGGTTAGGTTAGGTTGTAGCTTGTGTTTTAATTTTTTTGCGGAAGCGAAACTTTTTCTGATTTTGAATCATCCACGCCCTAATTCTTTGAACGGCAAAAAACTCAATGACATGTATGCTTCCTTTTGTCAAATATGCGTGTGACGTTCTGTAAGACAAACAAAAAATCATAGGATAGGTTAGGTTAGAATTAGATTGTGAAATTTTTTATAGGTTAGGGTATAGGTTGCCAAAAAGTGCCAATCTGCAGAACTCTCATCCGAACAATACATCAAAAAAATACCGGTATTGATTTTACAGATAATGTTGGTAATAAATAATCTTAAAACAAAAGTTTTGTTTGAAATTTGTAATAAACATGTTAGTAGTAGTTAGATACAAAATATAATGCCGATGAATGTTCAGTTACATTGAAGAATGCTGAAATAATCATCTAAAATATGTTAAAAGACACAGCAAAACATTGTCCTCTTTTTCCAAATACGGTCATTTTCACGAAACGAACCCTGTAGCAATAAACATTTATACAAAAATGAGATAATGCTTATGCTCCAACATTTTTACCTCAAATCACCACGAATAAGAATGATTTACTAGTAAATCGGGTTCATGGATGTATCTTTTTTTAAAGACTCGATAACTTTCTCTCTCTGCTATGATCAAATAGCACTCTACACCGTTACGAAACGATCTGTTTTACAAATCGAACAAAGAAGACACTCTTCTTCTAATGCCATTAAATGCTATCACTTAGGTTTTCACAGATTGCAATTCACATGATATAACAGGTCATTGAGCTTATTTACAATTACAAAACGTCTAGTAATGTTTTCATCGCGGTAGGAGATATATGGAATCACTTTTGAATACCAGGTTTCCATATATTCCGTCAAGACAGCAAAAAAACTTCGAGAGGAGTATGTGTGACTATAGGAGAATTGATTTCAGTTCATTTCGGAATACAGTTATTGTAGGAGAACCTATCTGACTTAACGGTGTAGAGTGCCGTTCTTGGCCATACTGCGAAATCGAAATAATCTCAATCCGCTTGTTGGCCAAAATACGTTTGTTGTCAGGCATTTAAACAGAGTCACCGTCGAATGGGCTAATCAAGTATCTTTTATCGGATGCTGAACTCATCTCACCATGACACTCCTGTAACGGATCACTGTAAAATATCAAGTTAAGTTTCACAGATATAGTAGACTATGTAACTCAACGTATCAAGCTTGAAATCAGAAAACTTGCACTGTTTGATTCTACTAGCGTAAAATTTTGGTTTCCAGATTCTATTTGTTCGAGATTTTCTAATTCTACAAACAAAATAATGAAGTCACTTTGAAAACATGTTATAAGATCATACTTACTTAATCGTAATGATTGGCAAAGTTTCATTCGCTCTTTAGTAGAATAAGAGTGTCAGTAAAGTTCGCGGTAAGACTCAAAAGATGCGAACGTCCACGATATGCAGAATAAAACTATACCTTTTAGAACTTTTTGTTGCTCATTTCTATACGCATGCCTACAAACATCAGTCTGCAATGGTTGAATTTATTATAGAGAAAAAATACAAGCGTTTAAATTACTTATAAAGAAATCAAGCGTAAAATCAATAAGAATGAATACAAAAGTAATTAGAAATCAAAATCAAAATAACGGCAAAAGAAACACAATCCACATCGATTCGTCTAACCTCTGGTTACACATACAAAGATAAAAAGAAACGAGCTAGATTTCTAACCAACTATTTTTGTTATGAATTCGAAGATTAATCACATTAAAAAGTACCATTTATAGTTGACCAATATTCAGAAGACTTTTATCCATAAATCGACGACGAACAAAACACAGCCACCACTAAAAGAACGAAAGAATAAAAAATGATATTGTTCAACAAAAATAGATATATGCCATTTACCTTTGATGGTTTATCCGTTGCCGGATCAATAACACGATCTAACATTCTTTCACTACATTCTTGTCTTAATTGTTGTAAATATTCTTTCATTCGTTCTTAAAAATATTACTCATTTAATATAAAATTATTCTCAATAATAGAGAGAGACACTTACCAACTTCATCATGAGATGGTTTAACAAACATTCCATTGAGTGGAAATTCGGGATCACCTGGCATTGGAAATGTCGAAATAGCTAATGATGATAGTTCTTTCTGAGCTTGATTACGAGACTGACACTTGAAAAATCAAAAACGAAAGTTTAGGTATGTCTAAAACATCAGCTTTATCAATTACAATTTACCTTTTGTAATCGACGCAAACATTCTGTTATATACAATGTAAGATAAATCAATGTTCGATCAGCATCATGCTAAAATGGAGACGATAAAATACAGTTAGAAAGCTCTGAATTTTATATGAAAGTTAAAACAAAATGCTATCGTTTCGTATGTCAGTAACTCCGAATCAGACATATAAAATGAGTGAAATACAATGTTCAAAAATGAGACAAATAATTACTTTAATATCATAATTACGAAAGAAAATGTTTGCACGAAAATATTTTAATGCTTCATCAATAATATCTTCATTCTCAGTAGCTACAATATTAAAAAAAGAAAACAACTTGAAAAATGTACCGTTAAACAATCAATATGCTTACATGTTTCAGTAGGTGCTGGTCCTTTAAAACGTGTTCTGATCGGTAATAATGCCATATTGCCAAGACGAAATTTAGAATTTGCAAATTGAGAATGATAAGCCTTAATACATATCCAACTGAAAACTATGTAGTTTAAAGAGAAAGAAAAATAAACTTACCATAATTATTAATTAATATTTAACGAAGAAACAAACAGATAATGGTCTAATCAAATCTGAAATAGAAATTAATTAGTGTTTTCAAAGGCGTAGCTATCCTTTCAAGAGCTTATTATCTATTAATACTCCTATGTAGAATATTTTTTTTTATGAATTCAAAATTATTTATTTGTCCTTAAAAAAAAGTATTGAAGATATACTTATTAAGCGTTTTCATTGTTGAGAAAAGAACGCATAAAAATTGATCACATTGAGATATATTTATCCTATCGAATTTCTGATAGTTTGAAAATTTTCTAGTACTATATCAGAATAAATACCCAATACTTTGTGCTGGATATTATTTAACAACAAAAAAAATTACTCTTCTCTATTGACATTTAGAAAGACAAGAAGAATAGCAACAAAAACAGCGTAGCGATTTCTGATATATCTGATTACAAATAAAAACTACACCGAGAGAAAAAACAACCGAGGAAATATACAACGAATTATTAAACCGAACCTCATTTGATTGTGTTTCTTTTAACACAAAAAAAACACACACAGAGACAAATAAATAGACAAATGAGATGATAAATTAATAAATAAAAAATAAAAAAACGGAGCCTAAGAATAAAAAGAAAAAAAAAGATAACAAATGATTAGCACCAAAACAGAATCAAGATTTTAAAAGATCTTCTAATATGGCAGATGATGATACTTCTGAAGGTACCTGTGAGTCAGTCTCTGTCATCATCGTCGTAGTTGGTAGATTAGTCTTAATAGGTGGTAAAAATTGTTGATAGTCACCACTAGGACTATCATTACTATCAGTCGTCACATGTTTTAGATGTTGTGTACCATTTAAAAATGAATTTGTGGCTAATAAAGGTGGTTTAGAAAGTAAAATTCTTCCAGTCGGTGCAGTAGTCTTATTTGAATGCATAGCCATATAATTATCAGTGTTAAACTTTGCTCGAATAGAAGGATCATGACCAGATTGTTGATCAACATATTGAATAAGCAATTCGGTAAATGACTAAAACAAATAGAAAAAAAAAATTTAAACTTTTGAAGAGTTATATGGAATACTTACTTTATTCGGATCGTATGATGAACTTGCCGATTGTGTTCTTGTTCTCCCTGTATTAACTCCACTATCGGGTGAAAACCATCCTCCTAACCATCCGTTTCCATTATGAATCGATTGACTATTCATTGTTTGTTCAACGGCTTTTTGATATTCTTCTTGTGTAAATCCAACAAGTGCTCCTAACAATGGTATAACTTCGTGTCGTTTCGTTGAAGGTGTATGAAAATAACCCAACAGAATATTTTTAACTAAATGTTTTTCTACTCGTGTTACGTTTGATACATCGACATCTTTTATTTGTTGTTCATATTGTTTTAATAATATTTCTTTATCTTGAATTTCTTGTCGTAATGCACTTATTAATTGATCTTTTTTCTCTATTTGTTCTGTTAAACATTTAGCTGCATTCAAAGCTTCCTCATACTCATCTAATTTTGAACGTATTTCACTATTTTCCGTTGTTAACCTCGTTGCGATTGCCGTTTGTTCACGTAAAGCGTCATGATAGCGTCTCAGATTTTCATTGACATGTTGATCACGATCTCAAAATACAATAAAAAAAAAAATATATCATCAATTGATTCATCAAACGAGTACGAAACAGTTGAATTTTTCTGGAAAAAAAACCGTCAGTCTATCTTAAACGAACATATTTGTTTCTACCTCGTTGAAATTGTTCTAATACAATTTGTAAATTATTTGCACATTTAGTCTGATAAATCAATTGATTATTTAATGTTGTATTTTGTGCTTCTATTTTAGAATATTCATATCTCAATTGTCCCAATTCATTGGTTAATGTTTGTTTACTTGATTCATATGTTGAATTTAATTGATTTATTATTTCTGTTTGTTGTTTTACTTCTTCAGTCAATGTTGATACTTGAATACGAAGAACTTTTTCACGTTCTTCACTTTGAACAGCTTCAATTGTATACGATTCTTCAATTGTTAATAAATGAGAACGTAAACGTTCATTTTCATGAGTATATTTTTTCTCACGTTCATCAAATTGACTTGACTAAAAATAATAAGAAATATTATCTACCACTAATATTTATTAGAAATAAAAACAATAATGATACTACTTACCATAAGTTTAAATTGTTCAATTTCTATATGATATCTCTTCATTTCAATTATTGCTTGATCTCTCTCATACGTTAATCGTTTACATTCAGTTTGTAATAGATCTAAATTATTTTTCTGTGTTACTTCTTCGATTTTCTCATGTAAAATATTTTCATTTGTTTTCATATCAAAATTCATTTGTTCTAACAGTTTCAGTTCTCTTTCATATTCATTCAATTTTAACTGTAAACGTTGTTCCGCTTCTATGAGTGTTTGTATGTAGACATTTTTTTCTTGTACGAGTTGTTTCAATTGTTCGAAATCTTCTGTTTTCTTTTTTTCATGATAGAGTAAATTTTGATGATTTATTAATTCATTTTGTATTAATAAATAAGCTTCTTGTTTTTGCGTGAGTAATGATTGTACTTGTTGATAGTCGATTTGTAATTGTGAATATTTTGAGTTTAAATCATTATACAATTGAACAATGTGATTATATTCAGAAGAATAATAGAGTAACGCTTCGTCTTTTTGATGTTTAGAAAATTCAGTTATTTGATCAGAATCCGATTTCAATTGAATATGCTGTTTTGACTGATCTTGTTGCTCCATTTCTAGAAAAAAAATTTAAATGATATAAGGTCAAGGGAGAAAAAACACTACAAGGCAAATGTAGTCATTCCGGAATACGTCTGTTGTGGAATGCCATTCCATTTTTTAGAAGCCGAGCTTAGCTGTATGTAGACGTAGATTTAGACCAAAACTGAAAAAATTTCTTTTATTCCAGAATGACAGTCCACCATTTTAGAGTGGCATTCCACCATTCCGAGATAGCGTTCCAGAAATATTGTACCCATTCCGGATTGTGCTTTTTACCCCTTGTATAAGGTGCTGGGAAGTTCGAGAAGGATTTGTTTTTCGTTTGTTTTTTGTCGTGGTTGGTTAGAGTTTGTTGAGTTATCTAGAAGAAATACAATTCTGGATTTTTGAATATCATTTTTCAATGAAAAAATTTTAAAATATTGATTTAATATTGAGAATAGACAAAAATCAGAGAATTCTCAAAAAATCAATATTTTAAAATTTTTTCATTGAAAAATGATATTCAAAAATCCAGAATTGCATTTCTTCTAGATAACTCAACAAACTCTATCCAACCATGGCAAAAAACAAATCCTACTCGAACTTCTGTTTTCCAGCACCTTCTTTCACGATATTTTATTTCTGAAGAAAATATAACTTACGGAAAGATTGTTTTAACTGTAGAATTTCTTGTTCTCTTTCATGAACCAGTTTAGTCATAGCTTGTAAAGTTTCATACGTCACATCTTCATGTTGATTAATTGCTTCGACAACAGATGGAGTCGATTGTAAGGGTAAAACGGACAACGGTTGTTCTTGTTTTTCTCGTTCTAATTCGGTTAAACGTTCAATAAAATAGTGTTTTTCTTTCTTTAAACTGGAATTTTCTCGTAATTTTTCATCAAAAATATTTCGCATATCATTTAATTCGAATTGTCTTAATTCTCGATCTAAATCATATTGCTTCAATTGTTTTTGTAACAATTCAATTTGTTTTATATTATCATTGTTCATCTTCTCTTGTTGCTGATATTGGATCAATTCACAATCTTTTTCAGATAAAATACTTGTTAACATTTCGATTTGAGCAATCAATTGTTGTTTTTCACCCGGTGTACTTGATATGTATGATGACGATGTAGCTGACTGACTTCGCAGAGCTAAATGAAAGAGAAATCATGATTATAGATAGATCACTGAAAATATGAAGAAAAAAATTCTAACCTAGTGGTATCGGTTGTTGATATTGTTTTTCTAGTATCATTCTCAGTTCTTGTTCTGATTCTAGTTCGTCATCGTTTTCACCATTGTCAAGTGTAACTGATTCTAATTCATTATTATGCGATGGTGGACATAGTGAATGTTCTTGGTCTAATTCATCTAACTTTGTTTTTGTTAAATTAAGATCAAATTGTAATTTTTCGAGGTCGTCATTTTTTTCCGATAATATTTGTTTTAAATTTTCTAATTCTTGCTGTATAATGGTCATTGTACCTATCTGCTGTTGGACATATATAGACCATTTTTCAAATAAATTTAAAAATTTATCCGATAATGAAGATTCTAACTCATCAGAATAGTCTAAAATAATATCAACAGATTCAGGAGGCAATCGTTCACTGATCTGATCATAAACAAATTGAAACTGTTTTAATTTTTTTTCATTCTCGAAAATTTGAGCTTCTAAATCGAGAAGACGTTCAAAGGTTTGAGGACTCGGTGAACGAACATGCTTGTTTGGTGATAACAAAGGCGAAGGCGATGCATTCAATATCTAAATAAATGTATTGTTGAACAAAATTTTACGCTGCACTAGAACAAATGTGTGTCCAGAAAAAGTTCTGAAACTTTTATTGTATAGAAATCATAAGAGATCATTCTGTTGCTGTTTTGTGGATGGGAAAAAGTTTTCTACAGAATCATGTCTATACAGAGCCAAAAAAGAATATTTGTTTCGTTACAAATCGTGAAACCCTCAAAGATTTCGTACGGGCACTTATACATTATAGAGTACCGGCAGTAACAGCAAAAAATACCGAATAAATAGAAAACCTGTCGCTTAAACTATTTAAAAGAAACTATTTCCATCTGTCAACGATACGTGCATGTGCAAAATGCATTGGTGTAAAGGTGGAAGTGTCAATCATTTCTCTTTCTGATTATTTGTCACCTCTCTCCCAAATTTTCCGTTTCCGAGAGAAAAACAAATGCTCGCATTTTCTCGTTTGTTGAATTCACGCATCATGCGAAGACTATAAGATTTAATGAAAATAGATCATTGGCTCGTTAAACTTTCAGCCGATCAGATTCTAAGGAGCTCCATTAAAGCTTCTATTTTGAACATGACCATATCGCCTCGGATCATCTGTGTGAAAGAGGAACAGTCAATGAAATAAATACCCAATCAAATGATTTGTGCTATGTTTTACTTCTTTTGTGTTTGATTTTTCTTTTTTTGTGGGCTAAACAGTTCAGATCTCTCTCGGACAGAAAAAACTGAGATAAAACAGTAGATTTGAACAGAAAGAAGGTTTTGTTTTCGCTTCTGGTTTTGTCTGATTCATATTCAGTTAGTTTAGCAAAAAGCTGTCTCGCTTTTCTTCATTTTTTTTCTTGGAAAAAAGAATTTGACTCCTTTTAGAAAATCTTAAGTATCTAGCTAATAAATTTCTACTTTGAGTTTGCCCAGGTCGATGATATGCGTCTATATGGATTTACAAAATATCAACGTCTCATCCCTAGCCCTTTCTAGCGATAAACAAGGATACTTTAAAGTAGGATATTTGAAAGCGTACTTGTATTTGTTGTTCAAGGGTTTGTATTCGAGTATCTTTCTCTTGCGCTACTTCTAGTAAATCATTTAAACGCAATAGTTGTTGTTCATTTTCATTTTGTAATAGCTGAATATCTTCGTTCGACTGAATCAGTTGTCTTTCTAACATTTCACGTAAACCTAATTCATATTTTAATTGATCATTAGTTTCTTCCTCTTTTGTTGAAATAGTTTCTTGTAACTGTTGTTGTTCTTTCAACATTTTTATTTGTCCATTTAGATCTTCAATTGTCAATTTCAGCATATTCTGTTGATCTTGGCTGCTGTTTAAATCAGCAACCAACTGTTTCTCTTGTAACTGTTGTTGCTCTTTCAACATTTTTATTTGTCCATTTAGATCTTCAATTGTCGATTCCAGCATATTCTGTTGATCTTGGCTGCTGTTTAAATCAGCAACCAACTGTTTCTCTTGTAACTGTTGTTGTTCTTGCAACATTTTTATTTGTCCATTTAGATCTTCAATTGTCAATTTCAGCATATTCTGTTGATCTTGGCTGCTGTTTAAATCAGCAACCAACTGTTTCTCTTGTAACTGTTGTTGCTCTTTCAACATTTTT